GCCAAAACAAAGATTTCGAAATTATGACTTTGTGCAAAATTCAGTTTCAAACTACCAAATTCAAATCCATGGCATTTCTACCTCAAGGGGTCTTAAGGCATAATTCTTGATGCTTTGGAAAGATGAGGTAACAAGCTTTGCAATGGAAAAAGAATGGAATCAAATGGAGGCTTAAGCTGAAAATTACATGGAGTCAAAGTTGAAGAAAAAAAGTTGACTTTCCATACTTAGAAATATTTCAAATTCTTCTTTAAAAATGACCTATAATCTCTTTCATCCAAACATGGCCTTCCACTTAGAATTTGCTCTTAACCCCAAAAGATGGAATGAAGTAGATCTCTTGAATGACATTATGCAATTTGAACCACTCAAAATCTCCAAAAAATAAGCAAGTTATGACTTGTTGAAGTTGGCCAAAAATCATGAAATGACCTATAATCTTTTGCATTCTTAAGGCAACTTCCATCCATTTTCTTAATTTGCACATAAACGAAGGCATGAAGTACACATCCTTAAGATCATCATGAAAAAATAATGGGCTCAAGGTGACAAAAATTGACCAAGTTATGACCATTTGAAGTCACATATAGAAAATTAGGGATTCATCTGGATGACTTGTAATCTTTCTTCTTCACCAAGTTCTTTCCACATGAAAACTCCTTGGAACTTTTGAAGTGATTTGTTGGTAACTCTTTGAGAGAAGAATTTTTTTGGAATCACTCAAAAATACCAAAAGATGAGCAAGATATGCCCCTTTGAAGTCCAAAACCCTAGCCTCTAGATCAAGAAAATGTTTGGTGGAACTTTGTCAAGTTTGAACAAACTTTTTGTGCCAATATTCTTCCTTTGTGAATAGGAATTGTTGAGGATGATGATGAGGACCTATGGCCACCAAAACCAATTTCATACCAACTTCAAAACAACTTCAATGGTGAGGTTTGAATCTCTCAAGCTTTTGACTAGAGCGTGGAAATAAACTCATGAACCCATGAAGCAAACTTGCTAAACCTCATTGCCTTTGCCTACATTATCAACAAGTAAGACAAACCAATATTGTATTTTGTTAATTAGAGAAAAATCAAAGTACAATATCTATGATCACAAAAGAAAACAAATCAAGGTGCTTGGTAACTCCTCAAAGAGCAAAGCTAAAGATAGGGAGAAGAACCAAAGTCCCTAATGTGATTTTGTGGTGATTGAAACAATATGGTATGATGAAGAGATCTTAGGGGCAAAAATTGGGGTACAACACAGTTATATCAAAGAAAGTTGGAGTTATCATTCCACAAGGGAGATGAAAAGTGTTGTAGGTACTATCCCAGAAATACAGGGAAGCTAGCAGAAAAGGCTGGCAAGAGTTAAAGCCTAGTTTCATCATTTGAATTAGGTCAAAAATTCCCAATTCTTTCCAAACTTGAGCTTTTTTCTTTTCAATCTTAGTAAGTCAAGCTAAGTAATATTTATCTAAGGTTGGACATGATCTAAAGGGTCTAAATCTATCAGTTATATAATCCAGTTGGAAAGCTTCTCTCTTCGCCTTAGGGTTTGAAGGACTATCCTCAAAGGTTTTCTTAGAAGACTTTTTAGGTTTCTTGGTGGAATCTTCAATGTTCTCCTTGGAAGCTACAGTTTTATTTCCTAAGGGTTTGGTAGCATGATAAGTGGGAAAAAAAACTCCACATATTTTTCTAAATCTCCTGTAGCGATAAAGGGCCTAAGAGACCTAAGGTTTTACCAGAAAACAGAGAAAGGATTAATACCTGAGAAGCATAAATGGCTTTTTGTACCCGAGTAAGTTTGGGAGGTGTGATAAATTCTTGATTCCCATAAGTGATGATTTTGCTGGTTGGTACATTTTGAGAAGATGAACATTCAGACATTCCAGACTTCTCAGCATGCTTAGAATCTTGTTTACCAGAAGACATTGTTGTAGATTTGAAGAATGAATGCAAATTTCAAGAATAAATGGGAGCGTAAATCAGAAAAAATATGAAGATTTCTGGGTTTGTAAAAGAAGAAAGAGAAGTAATAAAAGAGATAACTTTTTATAGTGGATGAGTTGGAGGTTACACTTCAGAAAGTTAGTGGGGCACGTGTCAATATCTGATGAAGAAAAGTGAAAGACCATTATTAATTTTCTTGGGAGTTGGTATATAATGATGTTGAAACTGCTGCACACATGTCTTGATGAGACGTTTTGGAAAAGTAGTCATGATTAACTGTGGCGTCAGGAATTAAAGGAAAATGAAAGGTTGCTAGTCAAAATCTGGTGATTACAAGAAATGTCGATTTCTACATTAATTCGAAATAAACATTTATTGGAGGCAATTTGTTAGCTGAAGATTTTGACATTTGATAAAAATATGAAAGTTGATTTAAGAAGATCATGTTTTAAAAGATAACATGAAACTTGGTCTTATAAGGTTATTTTATAAAGCTCATTCTTATAGTTCGATATGTCGAAGGGAAAATTAGAGTCCAAAGAATATTTCAAGATATATGAAGGTTACTTCGACAAGTCATGTTGGATGAATTCAAAGCTTCGAGCGGGAAGAGTTTGAATTTCAAATTGATGCGTTTTCGCTAGGAAGACGCGTGGAAGCACCAGACTGTATGTGTTTGAAAATGTCGAACGTGACATAATCTCATAGAAAGAACGTTAGGGTCAAATCAGTATAAATAGGAGTCTTAGATATTAAGATTCAGTGTGTTCACATTGTATAAAAATCACTCATATACTTAAAATATTGGAGCGAGAGAAAAGAGTTTGTTGATAATGTATGTGTAAGAACATCATCATTTTATTTAAAGTTGTTTTCTTATTACAAAGTTACTTTAATTGCTTTCCTTATTCCTTTTCGTTTCCTATCAAATCTTTAACATTTTTTGTCGAATTTCCTTTATAAGCATTTTTCTCTACATTCTTATAAACATCCAGATCATTTCTTTTAAGTTATATTTAGGATTTATAGTCAAACTTTAAACATCTTGAAATAACCATAATCACGTAGAAATACCTTGTTATTATGTCAAACTTTAAGTCAAATTGTAACAACACTAAGACACATGTCCTAGGATCAATCTAGTCGATCCTGTAAGTTACCAAAACGTAGAGTTTGGAAGACTAGCGGTTGTTTGTCAGATTCACTGGTAAACAATCCCCGACCAGAACCCTCGTTGAGGCACATTAACGGGCATGAATTGCAGAAAAAGCCCTAAACCCTAATGAGCCACCTACGGCGCGCCATGGGATCCCGAGGAGACCCCACGACGGCTCTGGCGGTTCTAAACCACATAAACGTCGTCCGCTACCAACATTTTCCAACAAAATCCTCCCTAACGGAATCCTAAATCCTAACTGCATGCATCTCTAGAAAGTAAAAAGCGAAAATACAAAAGCAAACAACAATGAAAGATCAGAAACTTACTAGTAGAAGAAGAAAAGATAGAACTAAGCAGCTGCGAGCAAATAAACTCAACAAACACCAGTGGTCAACTGTCGAGTTAATGTGGGCAGTTGAGAGAGAATGTGAAAAATACTAAATGCCTTGTTCCTCTCGTATTTATAGCTGAGATAGTCTGTGCGTATAAAACACGCGCATGGGAAATCCTAGGATCGTCATCATTACACCCTAGCCCTAGGTTATCATTGTGCCACTTCGCTAACACGCTTCCCAAAATACGCTACCTCTCCAAATTCAAAAGTTCTAACAACCAATGTCTCGCCTTCCCGCAAGCAAGACATAACGGGCAGTACTCATTTCCTTGATAGACGCGTCCCGTTCCTCGAACAGATGTTAAAGTCATCACTCCTGTGCCCAGAAGCAACAGCTTAGGAGGCTACTGTTCTAGAGTGGCCCGACGGCTTGACTGGACCTAGTCTAAGAGATCTCTTTTGGCCTGACGCGCACGGTCGTAACCCGGAATGCCCACTACCTGTCGGGCAATAACGATCGTTGCCCTCTCAGTTCAGCACTGACCCAGGATGATCGACGAGCATCCTTTCAGCCTGCCCGACATCAACGTCGTACAGGCCACCAGGAACCGACCAAAGAGATGCCCGTAACTAACCCCCTCCTCGAAACCAACAGCTAGTTACGGGCACATCTGTCCGGTTTGACAAAGTCCTGGCAGTTACCTGATTTCACAGACCCGCATATCTAGGCGTGAAATCAAGAATCAATGGTCACGCGCCTTATATAAACCATCACACATGTGAGGGTCAGGTATCGAATATTTACTATTCACTCCCTTAATACTCTGCTTGTATCTCCTTATCCCCCTCTTACTTGATTGTCGAGTGCCTTGCATATACAATCTCATTTTCCTCCTCAACTTCACAGTCCAACTACAGATCATCTTCCGCCCACTTCTCAGATTCTAATCAACCGATAAGATCATTTTTCATATTTTTTATCTTAGTCAAGAAAATAATCGAAATTCACAGTTAACCCTATATTCACTTTCAAGTGGCATGCTTAGTGTCCTTCTTGGTCCCTCATAATATTCCTCCACAAATAAAACACCCTTCATGTGGCAGAGACAACACATAGAGGAGGAAAGCAGCGAACTTGCACGGAGAAGCAACCTGGATTTGATTTGATAGACGAGATGAGGGAAACAACACAGACCAGAGAATATGTCATCAAGATTGGTGTTACATCCAAGTTACATTTGATGACCTGGGGTCTTGCCCTCCTCAATCAAGATTGGTGTTACATTTGATAACCTGGGGTCTTGCCCTCCTCAATCAAGTTTACGATGATCTCCTGACTAAATAAGAACTTAATAATGGTATGGATCAACTCACACTGTTAATTATATATTCATTCACAACAATTCCGTTTACACTTTATTTTAAAAAATTTATAACTGAATTAGTTCATATTCGTATACAAATACATCAAAAGACCAGACTTCTTCCTCCTCAAGGGAGGGGCGATAGAAATTGGTTATGGTAGTGTTTTGTCATTTTAAAGTTGGAGGTATAGAAAACATCATCATGTTTGCGCGTTATCGGTGTGTTTTACACTTGACACAGTATCTTGCAGTTCTTGGCCCATTGTCTCAAACGGAAAGAACATAACACATATTCCTGAAACAAGAGCTACAATTTCAAACAGAAGGACAGCTATAGTTTGATGACATCCATGTACTAAACCCACTGCTACCAATGGACATAACATTCCACCAATTCTACCCACTGAGCTTGCCACTCCCACGCCAGTTGTTCTCACCGATGTAGGATATATCTGCAGTTCATACAAATGTTATCTTCTAAGAGTACTATGTAACAAACACAGAACTAACTTAGTACGGAAATGCTAGCAAGTTCCTTAAAAGCATTGGATAAGGGATAAAAACAAAAATGTTTTCTGAAAAATAAACCTTTGAAAACTTTAATTCATTATACTTTTCAATTAACACTTAGCATCATATAGTAGTCTAACTCGATTGGACTTTTAGCAGTTATTCTACAGTTGTACTAAGTATTAAAAAACAGTATAAAATAGGTTTAGCTTCTTTCTACTGAAAGAATACACAAGATTTCTCTCAAAAACTCTGTTTCAACCAGATGAATCAAAATCAAAATTATATTGCATAAATACATTACCTCTGGGGCATAAATATACACAACTGTGAAGGTTACTGTGATACATATGCGAGCTCCAAATAAAAGACCCGTTGTGAGGTCTTGAGGCAGATAGAAGGTTAATGGAAGAAGGAAAATACAACACATGAAGAACATGATTGACATTGATAGCTTACGACCGAGTTTATCCACTGCTACGGCTGACAAGAGGAGCCCAGGTAGCTCTGTACAATATTATGCATGAATGATACATTTTCAGGCCATGGTATAGTAAAAGAATTAGGAAATGAGTAGAAAAGATACCTGCAAAACTAGCAATAAAAACACCTTTGTAACTTATATCCTGGGACTTGTCTGTCTGCAATTTATTTGGAATACATTTACTATGTGCGTTCAACTCAGAGGTCAGCAAAACAAGGCCGTAATATGAAAAAGCATTACCGAAAAACACTGCCCATAATAGAAGGGTTGACCTTGCTAAATTGGGTGACAGTAGCATTTTAAGTGATGAGATACCACCAAAATTAGAAGCCATTCCTTTAGGAGTTTGGACTTGATGATTTATTCTTGGGGAGAGTAAAACTGTGTCTTCTGAAGGGTTGTCAATTATTTGTAGCTCAATTTGATTGTCAGAAATAAGGGTACCGGATGGAAGTTTTGTGCCATTTAGTGTTGCTATTGTCTCTAAAACATGAACTGCTTCCGCCGTCCTACCTTTCAAGCATAGGTATCTGGGTGACTCTGGTGTGATTTTGTAGAACAAAAGAAGGAAAGAAGTGGGAAGGGAAGATAGTGCAAGAAGCCATCTCCAACCGAGTGTTGGCATCACGATCTGCAAGGAAAATTGCATTAGGTGAACCCATCAACACAAAGATTTGTGAGGGCAATGGAAGTTAGTTAGGCATGCGAGAGATAAAGCAAACGAAAGTTAGTTAGGCATGCAAGAGATAAAGCAAGAGGGCAATGAAAGTTAGTTACCCATGCAAGAGATGCCTCAAAAATGGTACCAAGAGTCCAAAATGCTGAAAAGATAACCATCCAGGTACCTCTATTAGTTGGTGGAACAAACTCTAGAAACCAGGAGGATAAAACAGGGCCACCTCCCAAACCAAGACCGACAAGGGAACGGAAGAGGAGCAACGAGAAATAGTTAGGAGAAAAAGCACTGAGAAAACCGGAGGTAGAAGTAAGAATAGCAGTGATAAGAAACCCTTTCCTCCTTCCATGTTGATCAGAAACAATGCCCCAGGAGTAAGCACCAATTAACATACCAGCAAAAACAACACTGGTAATAAAACTCTCTTCATGAGAAGAAAGATTCCAAGCAGATCGAACAGCGGGGCCCACGAAAGAGAGTAGCATCATTTCCATAGCTTCAGAAATCCAACCAATGCCAGCATAAACAAGAACAAGTATTTGAAATTTTCCAAAACCCAATGACACAAGAGCATCATCTACTGTGTACTCATCGTCCCCCATTGTCTACACAAAATCATTATTCAATCCCAAATCCAACAATAATAATCAATTAAACAAAAAACAAACATAGATCGTACCATTTTTTTTTGCTGGGAAGATACAAATAATGGATCTCTGGTTTTAGAATCAATAATTCAACAACATAGATCGTACCATATTTTGTTGGTGGGAGGATACAAAAAATGGATCTGTGGTTTTAGAATCAATTATTCAACGTTGCTTCATTCGTATCGTTGACGATGACCGACACAATCTGCAACCTTTACGTCTTTCTTCATTTCTTTTTCGTTAAATTAAATATTCATACCTTCTATTGGATATTCATGTAATTTACATTTAATATTTCTTTTTTTTAAACAAATTTTTTATTAACTGTTTTTACAATAAAGCTCATTCATTTTATCCATTAAGACAACTCAATTGGTAATTGTATAAGAACTTTAAGTATAAAGGTGTAAGTTCGAACTCGCCACTTTCTACTTATTCATTTTTAATTAAATGAATTCTATTCACTAAATTATTTAATTAAAAAATAATTTTTTTTTAAACTCCAATCACTAGATTATTCAACTAAAAAAATTAATTAAATTTTTTAAACTTCAGCCATTAGACAATTCAATAAAAATATTTGATTGATTTTTTCTCTGTATAAAACAAATATTTTACTTTAGAGAATTAAAAAATGTAACAAGAAAAAAATCAATTAGTATTAGATGAGAAAAAGTGAAATATTATAGTTTCATTAAAAAATGTGAATAATTAATAAATGAACATAATAAAAAAGTGAAATATTTTAGTTTTATAAATAAAAAAATAATAATAATAACATATTGGAAAAAAAAAGATATTTTAATTTTAAAAAGTGATATAAAGTGTAGTGGAGGTCCCAAAATATAAGCGGTTGAGTTATTTATAAAAGATATTTTGGGCAAAGTAGTAAAAGAGTTTGTCCCATTAAGACAGTTCAATTCAACAATAATAGTAATGAAGAACACAAGATCAATGGACTTAGCTTGAAGGTATGGTGGAGGAATAAGTGAAATTCTGTCATTCACTGCACATGGCAGTTTCTTGTTGATGCTTTTGATATATAATTTTTTTTGTTGATTCTTTATACATGAATTTTCATATGGATCTAATTTCTATATCACCTCATCCTTAGCACCATTGAATTGATATTGGATAATTGACATTATAATTTTGCATTTTGAATTCAATTTGGATAATTGACATTATAATTTTGCATTTTGAATTCAATTTTTAAAATTGAGATTGAGATTTTGAATTGAGATTAAATAATTGGATGATTCTATATCAAACACTTAGTTTATCACTTGCAGTTGAATAGACTGGACCGAAGACCTATAGGTCTCTTCAATTCAATTTTGGCTAAGATTTTTAAAACATTGTTAGTCTATGATATTGGGCAATTACTATTATGTATTTGTTTTCATACATGATTTTAATTACTATAATGTATATCATTTCATTAATTACATGATTTTAATTACTATTATATATCTATTTACAACAAGAGAAAAAAAACTTAATTTTCTGAGATTGACAATGCAAGCCAACAAGCTATTTTTGTAAGATGAACATTCCCACTTCAAATCCGACATGGTTGTTATATATTTTGGTGGTTTATCAATTATGTAACTAAGCACTACAGTTTTTGTCTAACATATGTATTCATACAACATACTTGTTGATATTGTCAATGTTTCTTACTAGATCTACTAATAGCAAAGCACAAATAAAGGGTAAAAATATAATACCAATCTCAGGCTTATGTCATTGAATAAAAACTACTTAAATCTTCTGTTTTTTGTATCCTTTAACTTAAGGACTTTGTTGTGGTAACTAATACCTTACAAAGGTGTTTTCTATGATACAAAATTGTGCATCTATATTCTTTTCTCTAATTGTTAAGTTTCACTTTGCAGGAACCTTTAGCACATACTTATAGTGAGAAGCTATATGAAAAAAATTATTTATGATAGCAGTTACATGTTTTCGTGGATGTTGTCGGTCTGAATTCAGAAGTTCAAGAAAGAAAATTCAAACAAAAAATTTGTATGTGGTGACTTTTGTGATCTAGCATTTCTGTTCTTTTTCAATTTTGTTAGATTTGAATGTTTTGGGTTTCCTTACGCGATTTATCGCAAACTTCAATCAGGTTGGCAGACTTGTACGCATAATTGTAGTGTAAGTTTGTGTAAGTTGTGTAATGAGACTTGTATGCATAATTGCGGTGTAAGTTTTTGTAAGTTGTGTAATGAGATTTGTATGCATAATCTATTAGTTAAATGTCAAAGTAGTTGTATTAATGGGCTATTTGTAACTTTTAAAGGCTCATATTTGCAGCACTTTTTGTTTCTTATCATTGAAGGTTCATATTTGAAGCCCTTCCCTTATATGATGACATGTTTTTTTTTATAAAAAATTGGATCAATGAACCAAACAAACTGATCCTTTTTAACCGATATACCGATCAAACCGAAGAACAAATTGATCGGAATTAGGTTTAACAATTTCATCCATGATTTGTGTCGGTTTGATATATTGAGCCCGAATCCAATCCAAATCGACCGGTGTCCAGCCCTAAAAGATAGTAGTACTTTGTCGGTCAGTGTAACTTACCTCACGTCATGTGTACTCATTTTAGAAGAGAGTGGAATAATGGGAAGCACATTAATATGAAGAATGGGGTTTGAGAGTCGAATAATTATAAACACATTAATCTAAACCGTCTGATCAATATTGACAACAAATCACTTTCTAAATCATTTCTTTCACACTTATTTTTCTTCACATTTATTTTATTCTCTTGGTTGTGAGATATTTTAAAAGTCAAACACACATGTGTTTTTGTAACTTGCTTCATTGTGGAAAATTGGTTGTTGAAGCAGAAAGACGTAATCTAGTGTTTTACGGAGTGTTTAAGACAATCAGGTGTATCAGAGAATGGTCTCTTGTAACCATATCGCACGTATTAAATCTTGGATCCATTGTTTAGAAGTGTACTAGTTCAAGTATCTCACTCACCGCAAAAATGATTTAATACTAAATTAAATTCTTCCTATAGAAAAGAAAATTTTCTGGGTGTGAATACACTAAAACATTGATGTATAACAACAATTGTGTGTTTTCTTTTCCCATTATATCTCAATATTTTATTGTCCTTTTATGAAATTTATTTTTATAAAAGATAAAAGATATGTGTAATACGGTGGGAGAACTGACTTGGGTGCTTTGCGTTTTATCGCAATTGTTGCGGATAGCAAGAGACGCCATCGACTTTTCTTTTATCCAATAAAGGAAAGGGTGAAAAGAACAAGAAAGACCTTTTGAGATATTCTTGAGTTCGGGGGGTAGGTTATGAAAAGGGAAGGTATTAGCACCCTTTTTATACGTAGTTATCTACGGGCTCTTAGTTGCTAGCTCACTTTGAAATGATTTGTTTGAAATGTGTTTGTGATTGGGTTTTAAAAGTATTTTTTGAAAAGTGTCTTCATTTAGGCGAACTTTGTAATGATTCTTGTCTCTATAAGAATGCATACAAAGTGTTGACTTTTGAAAATGTTTCATTTGAAAGTGTTGGTGTATTTGAAAGATGTTTGAAAATGGTTGTGAGCAAGGGACTAAGAACGTTCTACCTACTCAAAAAGTCTTTGTTCATTTCTTCCTCCTCTAAATATTGCTATCTTACCATTGATTGATAAGAAGCCTTATCATTGGATGTGAAGGGAAGGGTGTGGGTCATCGTATAGTCATAGAAGGCAATATTGTAGGATACCTTAGTAATTTGTCGTAAGGGTCTAAGATCGTTTACCGAAGGCAACATCGAAGGGTCATTGAGGGACTACGATCTTGTATTCGAGGGTCATTGCTAAAGTATCCCACGTTTGAGGGACATGACTATTTTTATCTGAGGCAACAAGTGTGGGTTACCCTAGAGGTGCAAGTGTGCAAGTGTGCAAGTGTTTATTTTCATGCATGTTTATCTTTGAATTAGGGTTTTCCACTTGTTGTTTTTATGTCTTGCCATACAAACCCTAATTACTAGCATTTATATTTGAAAGCGATAAATTACGGAAAGTAAAGTCCTACGCTATTACATCGTTTAGAGGATGGGGATACAAATTTACAAATAGAGAATAAAAGTAATAAAAAATCATAATTATCTATTACAACGATATTGAATTTGAATAATGTACAAGAAATGAAATGAACATAATGTGCAAAGATATAAATGGAAATTAAATAGATTTTGTTTGAATTTTTGTTAAAGAAAAGTTTCGGTTTTAACCTAATTAACTAAAAGAAAATAATTAATTAAAAATAAGAAGATTAAACTAAGTTATTTAGAAAACAAATATTTTTTTAGGTTTTTTTGAGAAAAGGTTCTAATATTAATCAAAAAGTATGAAAAAGAAATTAATTAATTTAAAAAGAAACCTAAAATTCTAAGTTAATTTTAATTGAGAAAAGAAAATAAATAAAACCTTAATCCAATCATTAATTGATTAAGAAAGAAAAGAAATTAAGTTTGTAAGAAAAATATTTTTTAATGATTTTTTGATTTAGAAAGAAATAATAATAGGAATATGCTATAATCAAAATCAAACTCAACATGTATTGATGCATAAAGATCTGCATTGGCTCATTTTTCTGTTTTGTATCGACACATATCAGTCTTGTGTAGACACATGCCATTTTCTTGCTCTTGGAAGTCAAAGACAAATCAGTATGTGTCGATACATAGTGGTATGTGTCAGCTCATTTCTTGTTTGTGTCGACACATTCGTGTTTTGTGTCGACTCATACACCTTTTGTCTCTCTGTATTGTGCCTGGATAACAGTATGCATCAATGCATAAGGTCTTGTATCGACTCATAACCTGTTTTGTAACTAAAATGTGTCGACACATGTGAGTATGCATCGACTCATGCTGCAGTTTTTTACCTCTAAAATTGTTCTATTGCATGTGTAAGTCAGTTCTCAACATATAATTGATAAAAAATAAAGAGCTAACATATGGTTAGCTTCAAAGGTAAAGATTACTACATTGTATCTT